CACTTGTAAGTTCGGATTGTCTTGTCATGATTGTTCCCAATGAGTTTGTAATACCGATTTGACAAAACCATCGTGCATGAAAATCAGTTGAAAATCATAGTGCATGTGTATATGTGTTCTTGACAGTGTGCGAATGCATATTACATATTACTTAAATCCGTGTCTAACAGGAGACACACCTTCAGAGTTGGAGATATCGCCAGGTACGTATATCTCTATCCCTAGGATGTCTATGACTATCTAGGTGTCCCTAACCTGTTCGAGCAATCGTCAAGACCCACATTTGATCATTTTTGCGATCTCTATATGCCTTTGATGATGTTTAGGTGTCTATTGATTAAGCTTTTTCAGGTACCTCTGATGATATCCAGGTACTTTGTCAAGGAACCCTTGAACACTTGGGCTAGCCCCTTTGTTCACCAAATCACAGATTTTCATACAATCTCGAGAAGATTCCCCCGTTACTCACCTATGAGCAGGTATAGGTGAGGCGGCCAAATCTTTGCATATGAGCAGGTATATGTAAAGGTCGGAATTCTCCCCAAATCTCAGGTATTCCCCCGCTACTCGCCTATGAGCAGGTATAGGTGAAGTGGCCAAATCCTTGCATATGAGCAGGTATATGTAAAGGTCGGAATATTCTTTCAACCCCAGGTGTTCCCCCGCTACTCGCTTATGAGCAGGTATAAGTGAGGCGGCCAAATCTTTGCATATGAGCAGGTATATGTAAAGGTCGGAATATCCTCTTGACTTCAAAAGTTCTCCCCGCAATTCACTTATGAGCAGGTATAAGTGAAACGGCCAAATCTTTGCAAACACCCATGGAGATGTATAGGTAGTTGGTAAAGATCGGAACTGTTCTCACGAATCCAGATGATGATTGGATACGTCGAGCTTTCTTCGTGTGTTTTGACTTAACTGCAGATCACCGAAGTTCATCAACGTATATCAGGCAATACCTATGGAAACGAGCCCAGACATTTGCCAAACAACATACAAAGTCCGAGTCGTGCCTCGAATTGCGCTATCTCACTCCTGTCAGGTAAGTAATTCCAAGTATGTTTTCCACTCATGTTAGCATGCATCATTTCTTAATGCATTTTAAAATGGGACTCATAATCCCGACAAAAACAACATTCATTGCATTTGCATGGTTGAAATTTAGGTATCATTTAGTCTTTGAATGCAACCTCTACGAGCTCACCTTCAAAGAGGGGCAGCTGTTGACACCTAAATTTTGGCGTATCATTTAGTGTAATTTGCATAGAAAATTAGGGATTAAATTTTTAACCCCTAAACAAAAATATTTAAATTGCATAAACATATAGTTTAGGTCCATTTAATTTAATTGCATTTTTTGCATCAGATTGGCAGTGGCGAATGAGCTTAAAATTTCATCGAACGAGACTCGGCTCGCTCGGAAGGCAAGGGCCGGGAATTACAAGTCAAACGGGCTTGGTTGTTTTAATTTGAGTTTAATTCAGCCAATTATGCTTAATTAAATAAAAGCCCAAGTTAAATCAGCCCATTTAAATTAAATTAAACCTAAGCCCAAGCCTAAGCCCATTAGGACTATAGAGCCCATCTAATTGACCTAAGTTAGCATTATATCAACATGTTTAGGTCAGATTTCAAAGGGGGGGGGAGAAAAATTTTCAGATCTGATTTTGAGAGCTCAAGTGCGAGAGTGAAAGAAAGGGAGAGAAGGGAGGCCGGCAACACCACCGCCCGTGGTCGTGCCTCCCATCGCACGTCACCGCCGCGTCGGAGGACCGCCGACATCGTCCCGGTCAGCCACCATCACTCCTTCCCTGTCTGTAAGTTATAGCCGTTGAAGGACCATCGTCGCTGCTTTGCCTCGCCGAACAGCTGTCCCGAGAGGCTGTCACTACTGTTCTTCCCCTTCTCCATGCACCAGCCACGTCTTCTCCAGTCAACCGAGGAGCTTGTCAATGCCTCCTCTCCATCCTGTTGGTCCACGAAGCAGCAGCTACGGTTTGAAGATTCCCCATGCGGCGTGCATAAAGACGTCTTCGTTCGGCCGCTTTCCTCGCCAAGTGAAGACTCTTCCCCGTCCAGCGGCCAATCAACAGAAGCTGCAGGCGGTGCATGTCAGTGAGGCCACAGCAAGCACTTCGTCCAGCGCAAGATCAGTACCACATCACCCGGAACCGTTCGTGCATCGCTGTGAGCCCCCGCCAAGTTGCTGTTTAGCCGGTCATCGCCCCCGCCGTCTTCGACGCCCGTGAGCCACCGTGTCGTCGCCACCACCGCCATCTCGATCCGCAAAGCCCGATCCCGATCCACAATTCGAATTTGGAAGTTATCTGCAAATTAGGTAATTCAACATTATCCGATATTTTCAGAATATTTAATTTCCTAATATGGGTGTTTGAATATTTCGTGAATATCACGTGGATATTTAGATATCTTAGGATAATGTTCGATATATCCGCAATATTTTTAAATATTCAAAATTAGGAAAACTTCCGACCTTATCCCTAAGGTTCGATACGCGGCGATACGGAAAATTATTATCTTATCCATAACCACTTGGGTACGATAATGATTTTTATCTGCTTTCCAAATTTGAATAATCGGCTTTCCGTCGATATCTATAACCCTATAGATATGACCGATAGTTTGATTTGTATGCCTAATCCGAGTTTGAAACAAATATGGCGGATCGCGTGGACGTTTTGAATGTGGTTGCTATCCTTGTTTATTTAATTGCTTTCCTTTTTCAAATAAACAGAAAATTCAAAAAATATTAATTAGATTTGAATTAGAGTTTTTGCATGTCTAGGAATCCTAAATATATCTAGAAGATAGAGTAGTTATTTAATTTAAATTAGGACTTGAGATGATTTATTTCCTAGTTTAAATTAAGTAATATTCTAATCTTAATAGATTATTCAGGTTATTTTATTACTTCGAATTTCCATGAAAATCCCAAGAAAAGAAGAATGAATTGTTTTAGGATAGATTAGGATAGATTGTATTCTTAATTTAAGTAATTCATTATTTCGAATTTTAATAAAAATCCTAAAAAGAAATCATGCTAGGGTAGATTAAGTCATCATAGTTTGCATGTTAATTTAGGCATTTTTATTATTCCGAATTTAAATTGAGAAAATACCAAAAATAATCATTCGTCTTGTCATTAGAAATAGGTCACGTCGTCGCACGACATATAGTTTGCATGCTAGGTTGCATTAATCGCATGTCATTTTCGCATGTCATTGCATATAGGCTAGATTTCATTTAAATAAGTGAAAATCCAAAAAAGAAATTGAGTGAATTGCTTGTTAATTAGAAATCATATTAGGGTGTCAATGTGATTTTCTAGCTAACAATGCAGATGCTTACGTTGCTTCCAGGTAAGTAATTCTTCCAAACTTGCAATTTATTTAATGCTTTCTGGGTGTTAAATTGGTGGTTTGCGCACCCGCATGATCACCTCACATGCTAGTGACTAAGTTAAAATGAATCCAAACTGTCTGCCAAAACATTTTTTTTTTTTAAAAGAAAAGGTACCGAAAGGGCGTTAGACTAGACCTAGCGTAACCAAGTCCCCGAGCTTAGAATCTCTGGTTCGTAGGAATAAAACATATCTCCCTATGTTTTATTTAGGTTTCTAATCGACCTACCACAAATAGATTAGTGGCGACTCCAAGCATGAAAACTTTTGCATGTTAAAAACTTAAACCCTAAGTTGCGAATTGGTAGGGCTTGGGAGGGCCCGAGTTAGGCTTAGTCTTAATAATCCATTAGCCTGAGAGAAATTTTAGGTCGCGACAAGTACCAACAAAATACGAAGTCAATATCTATGTGTTCTAATGTCAATGTCATTTACAGTATATCCCAATGACTCCTTAAGAAATATTTTCCAATAGCCAACACATATTTTCCTATACATTAAATCGCGTGTTGTGGTTATGAATTAGATTCCAAAGTTGACTTAAGATGCATACGGTTTTTGTACGTATTGATATGTGTAGGAAATTTTGATGGCCGCCGTAGACAATCGGTCACACGTAGTGGAATGGGCAATGGCGGAGATGATAAATCGGCCCGAACTCCTTAAGAAAGCCAAAGAAGAAATAGTTAGAGGTGTGGAAAAGGAGAGGTTAGTCCAAGAGTCCGATATCCCCCAGCTCAACTACATTAAGGCATGTGCTAGGGAGGCCTTTAGGCTCCACCCGATCGTGCCCTTCAATGTTCCGCACGTTGCCATGTTGCATGCCATTGTGGCCGGCTACCACATCCCCAAGGGCAACCACATCCTCGTGAGCCGGATGGGTCTTGGCAGAAACCCTGAAGTGTGGGACGAACCTCTCAAGTTCATGCCTGGGTGGCACATTAGGAGTGATGCCGTGGAAGTCGTGCTCATAGAACCCGACTTGCGATTCATTTCCTTCAGCACTGGCCGGCGTGGGTGCATTGCCGTGCAGCTTGGGACGACGATGATAGTAATGCTCATTGCCAGGCTAATTCAGGGGTTTAACTGGAGTACACCCCCTAATGTTTTGAGCATCAATCTTATCGAGTCAAGAAATGACTTGTCTCTTGCCGAGCCATTGGTTGTTCAAGTCGGGCCGTGCTTGCCAAACCATCTCTATCTAATATAGAAAAGTATGTGACCGTAGTATGTGTAGGACATATACGTATTGAGAACCTCGATTTTTCCATGTGACATATGAGATTATCACCCTATCAATTATTCTAGGCTATTTATTGTGAAAGCAATCTAATGTTAAATACTTCATGCATTATATAATACAAATAAAATGGAATGACATGAGGTGTAACTGTGTCGCCCGCCCCCCTTGGGTCGATCGCAACTCATGCAAGCTTATATTTGCCTAAATCAATTGATATCATGTACCACCGGTGGCTACATAAAGTTACGAGAACCAGTTTCAAAACGCGAGGTCACGAGATCATAAGTCAGTGCTATAGTAATATCTTCGTGCCTGTAGATTGTAGACCCCCAAAACTCTCATAATGGAGCTCTGCCCCCCGATATCGACAAATCTCGCATACTTTCATATCATCGATGGTGCTGAGCAATCGTGATAAAATATTATGAAATGGATATGACACTCTTATAATACCATTAGCGGTAGTACTCAGGCTATCTGTCCATCCTCGCACTTTCAAAGAGGAGGAAAAATTGATATACTGGGAATCGAAGCACCATCGTGTGTTTGGACATCAAGATGGAGAGGCCCTACCCCGTGGAATTACTGGCTTATCTTCGGCTCCATGCCGAAGCAAACCCTCCGCCTTCGGTAGACCATCAGATTGACCTCCGCACTTTTAGCTTGTCTATGACGTTGCCGACGTGGCAAAATCTGGGCAGCAATATCGCCGCAGCTCCTACACACCTATCGACACTGCCCTTTCTCGCTCCGACTTCTCCGTCTTCTCTTCTCATCAATCATCATCGTCGTCTCGTGGAACATGAAGAGAGAGAGATGCTTCCGTTTCAATCTCAAGTCCTCTTTGCAGTCACTCGCTGCTCAGTGGTCGCAGTACTGTCCCTCTCTCTCTTTCGGTAGTCTTCTATCATGGATGATTTACTTGATGATGTACTACAAATAGGATTGTACTCGTATAGTTTCAATATGAGAAAGCAATGCACATCTTCCTCCATTTAGCTTTCCATCACCCATATTGTGCAGAGTATACTAGCTTCCGTACACCGTTCTTCAGCCTGCAAGGAAGAGATGCCTAGAAATCAGAATTCAAAATCTGGCACATCAAACAACCGCGGAAATCCCTCCAGACGAAGGAAGGGTAACATAGACAGCCAGACAAACCAGAACTGCGCCCTTATTGAACAAAAACTCGCAGGACCGGAGAACTACTCCATTTGGTCCCAAGAGCTCCGATGTGCCCTAATCACGAAGGATAACTATGGATTTATTGATGGCACCATGCTCATATTATCTTACGAGCGGCTTGCACGGCATTGGAGGAAGTGCAACCAAATCGTTCGAATGTGAATCGGCAACTGCCTCACCCTAAAGGTCGCTGCTTGACTTCCTCCGACTGAAGACGCAAATAAAATTTGAGAAAATATTCGAGAAATGTACGGTAAGTTCGACAGGGCCAAACTTTTTGGGATAACTCAGGCCCTATTGGAGCTAAAACAGGGCAACCTCTTGGTCACTGCTATCTTAAACCGATTGTTGGCCCTTTGGAATGAGCAAGAAATGGCTGAAGAAAAACTTGAAAGACTCGAAGCTACCCTAGCGCAATACCGAGCAATCAAGGAACAGGAGAAGGTCACTAGGTTCCTACTCATACTAAACGAAAGCTGTTTACCTTTTCGAAGCCAGATTCTCGCTACGGATCCTGTTTCCTCGCTCAAACGGATCTACCAACTCGGTATGCAAGAAGAATCCCAATGCCTTGTTTCTTCAGAGTATCTAAAGGTCGGCGACCATGTTGTTCTTGTGGCAAAGGCAATGTAGGAACAGCGACGTGCCGTGGCAAGTTCCGATCATGGAGGTCTCGCTCACTCAGGCATAGCACTAGGGTTCCCAAGTGAGGAAGACGACTTCCCTTCTTCCTTCACAACCGACGATCACGATTTAATCGTGTCATCCCTGATCGGACGGTCTAGGGCGCACCCGAGGATCAATGCAAATGAATGGCCAAGATTTGATAACGAAATTGGACGGCTCAATGCACGTGGCGCAATCCGACAGCGCATCTTTCATCCTTGCCGCACCCAAATTAGACAACGCAAATCATGCCACGTCAGCACCCGGTGGAAGGCATCTTACGGCCAAAATTCGACCACGTCATCCAAATCCAATGGCCCATATTCCAATAAAGGAAAATGTAAATTTTGCAAACATTGCAAACGTCATTATCATACTAAGAAAAATTGTTAGAAATTGCATGAGAAGCCGGTAAACAAAGAAAGGAAAGGACAAGATATTTCAGTCGCAGCGCATGCCAAGGTTAACTAGCCCATCAATCACGATCAATTTCGGCAAATCATGAGAGCTCTAAAGCCAGCTGGGTCCCCAAGACAAAACGACCAGCTATGTAGGTATATCCTATTGCTTAATCAGCTCTATTTCAATTGATGCATGTATTATTGATTCAGGTTTTAGTGACTAAATAGTTTACAATAAACATTTCTTTTACCATAATCATAAATCCTCTCATCACAATTTAGTCTGCCTTCCAAATGGAAGTGACACCTTTATCACTAAAATTGGAAACATTCGTCTCAGTCCATCCATCTCATTGAAAAATGTCCTTCTCATTCCCGAATTTCAATTCAATTACATTTCTGTCTCGAAACTTTGTGAGGATAATTCTTATCAAAATTCTTTTTGATTCTAATGTCCGTTTCTTTCGGTCCCTTTCGATTAGAAAACTGATGGGCTTGGGTAAAAATCATGATGGACTTTATTTTTAGGCTACACTACCCAAAAATCTTGATTTTTCATGTATCCCCCAAAATAAGGGTACGATCTGCTATGCCAACATTAATAATAATATTTCTTAATCTGATCAACGTTTGGGTCACAGTGCTAGCTTTTCTCATCCCAAGTGCTCTATTTGTCCATTGGCTAAACAATGTGACAACCTTTCCCTCATGCTTTATGGACATTCGGAGACCATATCACACTCCACATCGTGATGGGTCCTTTTTTTTTTTTTCATAATCGTGGATAATTATACATGTGCAACTTAGGTTCTCCTCATGAAATCCAAAGCCCAAGTCTTTTCCCATATTAAGAGTTTTCCTACCTTGATAAAATAATCAGTTTCATAAATCCGTCAACGGATTCGTGCTAACAATGCCCGCGAGTTTTTAATAATGAATGTTCTTCATTTTTTACCTTGAATTAGGGGTGTACAAAGGAATCGGGAATCGCCCATAACTGGATCGGATCATCCCGGAACCAGCGATTCCCGGTTCCAATTTACTAAAACAGGTGAATACCGATTTGATTCCCGATTCTAGGCATAGAACCACCCACCAGGACGGGACTGATAATACATATAATTTTTAAGAAAAATTTCAACAAAAAAAAAGAAAACTTTTAAGAAAAATGAAAACACTAAAATCTCTAATCTGAACCTCGACGCTCAACTCCCACCTTCTCATGGCTGTGCCTTTGGCCATTGATCGCCTTCCTCTCTCGCTCTCGATCACCTTCATTTACATGAAACTTGGTGGAACCAGTTCCATAGATCTATTCAGAAACCGGACTGGCGGTGCGGTTTCCAGTTCCAATTTTTCGGAACCGGTCCTTAGTGGGCAGTTCCCGGTTCCATGGTGGGAATCACCCACCTGGACCATGCTCATCCCTACCTTGAATGGCATTCTTCATGTGAGTTCCTGTGTCTACACACTCCCACAAAACGAGGTTGTCGAGAGAAAATATTGTCATCTTTTAGAGGTTGCTCGTGTCATCAAATACCAAGGTTTCATTTCTGAAACGTTCTGGGGAGACTATGTGGTCACTGCAGCCTACTTAAAGGGGACGCCTTTAGAACTTGCAAATTCACAACAACTCAATTTGTGGAGGTACCACGTTAAACCTCGTCAAACCTTTCTTCTTATTTTTAGCACTAACGACAAGCAACCTTAATGGTAACTCGTTCTATTCAACATATTTTTCTGCTCAAAAAATGTTTTTCTTTCCATTTGTCTTTACGTAGAGCATTAGTATACACTGAGGAATCAGTCAACTACCAGAATACAAATTTAACTCATCAAACAGAAAGAAGCTTCATGAGAAGAGCGCGTGATCTTAAGCCCAAAGGCCGAGAAAGGTATGAGATAAGCACAATTACAGAGTAGCATTTCTTCAAGTACTTGCCAGCTTTGGACTATCAAAACTACCACAAGACTTGTATTTAGACCGGGAAAATTGTCTAAAAAGCTCTAAACCCATTGTACGATGGTCAATGCAATTGTAAATCTTTAAATTGTGCTAATTTAGTTCAAACCTTTAAATTGTGCCAATTTCATCCAAACCTTTAAACAACTTTTCAATTTAGTCCCAAACCTTCCAATTGTGTTAATTTGTTTATAAAGTTTTTGATAATTTGTTAATTTAGTCTTAAAACCTTTTGACGATTTACCAATTTAGTCTTTCCATTGAATTTGGCTAGAAATTGCTGACATGAACGCCAACCGGCCATCCTACGTGATACGGCCATCGCTGATGGGGATAAATTTTGCATTTTTTTTAAAAGAAAGATATTCGTTTTTTATGTTTTTTTGTCCGTTTTCTTTCCCTTGAGACTGTAGCCGGTACTCAGCCATGACTGGTGACCGGCCATAGGTGAGGGCTAGCGAGGGCATTGCAAGCGAGGGTTGAGCCCTCGTCAGATTCGGCGAGAGTGACCTTCGCCCAAGCCATGAGGGTTGAGCCCTCGCTAGATCCAATGAGGGCGACTCTTATATGTGGTCGGCGAGGGCCATGACGCCTTCGCTTGTGGTCGATCGCCGGCCATGACCGAGTTTTAGCCACAAGCCAAATGGAAATAAAATGAAAAATAAAAATAAAAATGGAAACTTTGTCGATGGTTGTGTCGGCCACACCGCATGAGATGGTCGGGTGACATTAACGTCAGCAATTTCTTACCAAAATTAGTCAGAACGGCTCAATTGACAAATCGTCAAAAGATTTATGACTAAATTGGAAAATTATTAAAATGTTTCGGACTAAATTGGCAAGTTGCAAACGGGTTAACACTAAATTAGCATAATTGAAAGATTTAACACAAGATTTATGATTTTTTGACCATTATCCCTACTTACGCTAGATTTGAAACAAGAAAATCCCTAAAAAAACATAGGCATGTTTAATTCCTTGACTGAAGTTATTAATTGCTTGCGAATCTACTCCAATTAATCACATTTATATAGAATCGGATCCTCTTGCATTTTATTTAGTAAGTACTTGATTGGTCGATTTCAGTTTCCCTATATAGCCACATCTATATCAGTGTATGTACATGCACAACTCTCGTGGTCTTCTGCATTTTCCCAAAATCCTAGTCCTATGTACCTCCGGAGAGAGCTAAGAATAGCTAGCGCGTCGACGGTTCTCTGATTGCCGCCACGATGATGAGTTTCGCCACCTTGGCCTATGGCCTACTTCTCATGGCACTAGTCTTTCACAACATCATCAAATCTTTTTGGTGCAAAAGCGTCAAAGGAATATCCAAGCCGCTCCAACTCCCCCCGGGGCCCGCCCCGTGGCCAGTGGTCGGCTGCGCCCTCAGCGTGCTCCGGAACAAGCCCTCGGGCCAGTGGATCCTTCGTTGGATGGAGGAGATGGACACCAACATCGCGTGCTTCCGCATAGGGAACACGCACGTCATCTCCGTAACCGACCCGAAGATCGCCCGGGAGTTCCTCATAAAGCAAGATGCTACGTTTGCGTCGAGGCCCGTCTCGATGTCGTCCCGGGCTTTGAGCGGGGGCTATTTGACCGCCATCTTCTCGCCCCACAGGGAGCAGTGGCAGAAGATGAGGCGGGTCGTGAAGTTGGAGATCATATGCCCGGTGCGATACAAGTGGCTCCACGACAAGAGGGCCGAGGAAGCTGCTAACCTAATGAAGTACGTCTTCAACCAGTGCCAAAGCCTAGGGCAGGTGAACCTGAGGCAGACAGCGAGGCACTACTGTGGGAATGTGATAAGGAGGCTGATGTTCAGCAAGAGATACTTTGGCAAAGGAAGGGAAGATGGAGGACCAACCATGGATGAAGAACAGCATGTGGACGCACTGTTCAAAGCGGTGAACTATCTCTACGCATTCTGCGTCTCCGATTACTTCCCGTTCTTGGTGGGGCTCGACCTCGATGGGCATGAGAAGGTAGTGAAAGATTGCACGAGGACGTTTCGGAGGTTGCATGAGCCCATCGTGAACGAGAGAATCAAACAATGGAGGGACCATTCGAGCTCGCAGAGTAATGAAAAAGAGCCTCAAGACCTGTTGGATGTTCTTATTATGCTGAAAGACTCGCAAGGGAAGCCATTGCTCACGCCACATGAAGTCAAAGCGCAGGTTACGGTGAGAAATTTGTTCGTTCTTGTTGTATGTATCTATTATTATCATCATCAAAGGTTAGAAAGCAAACCATAGAAGGTTATATACTTGGTCGAAAAAGTCGATATCTATGCGCCCTAATGTCAATGTCATTAAACTTATCCAAAAGCTAATTTAAAAGCTCCTTAAGAAAGATTTTCCTATAATAAATACATACTTACACATACTCTTATTTCCATATTTGTGGTTATAAATTAGATTTCGAAGTTAACTTAAGATGCATACCTTTTTTGGTACGTCTTGATATGTGTAGGAAATTATGATGGCCGCGGTGGACAATCCATCGAGTGCAGTGGAATGGGCAATGGCGGAGATGATAAATCAGCCCGAACTCCTGAAGAAAGCTAGAGAAGAAATAGATAGAGTCGTGGGAAAGGAGAGGTTAGTCCAAGAGTCCGATATCCCCCAGCTCAACTACATCAAGGCATGCGCTCGGGAGGCTTTCAGGCTCCACCCGATCGTGCCCTTCAATGTCCCGCACGTTGCCCTGTCGGACGCTATTGTGGC